AGAGAAAATGCATCGGAAGGAGTTGAATTCCGATTGGATAACTGGTCAAGCAGAGATCTCGTCAAGCTGCGCACAGATCCGCATCACACCACAAATGCGCTCGTGACGCTCAAGGCGAATCAATTCCGAATTGGATGACTAATCGGGGTGTCAATGACATAATCAGATTGAAGCATTAACACGTCTTTCTCGTACGCAAAACTTACTCACATGCATTTACGTATCGCATCATGATCACAAAACATACTCTGGCTGTTGCTCTCCCGTACCGTCCTGTTTCCCGTATTCATTTTGGAGACTAAAGAAGAGGGGTTCGTGTCAGTTAAAGGTCTAAGCAGAACATAACAAAATAACAATCTCAGACTTCCACATCAGTACCGACTCACTTTCTGGATTGTGATTGTTAGGAGAACCAACCCTCATCATACTTTGAATTGGTGAAGGCTGAACGGAATAATCTAGTTTACGCGAACTCGGAAATCCAAGCTCTTAGGAGCGACCATTCGTATCCAATCCTGGTGGGGCACTTGTCATATTGAATTGTGCGAACCCAAAGCAGTCTGTCATCATAGAGGAGAGGCAATATCGGGGTTACACTAATCGAGCATTAAAACGTCTTATATTTGTCAACTCCCTACCCGGAAAATGTTGTTCTACGGAGCCTTAGAGGTTGAATATACTTGAAAAAAATCAGTTTTGTCAACTTGTTTCACCTGACGAGCGCAACCTTAGAATTCTGACGACCCTGGTAGGTGATAAAGTTTCAATAATCATCCACTGCAAAGCATACCAACTTCAGTGATGGGCTGAGTAATTACTGGCACTGTTACCATTGTCTCACTTTGACATTTTACTTTCCGCACTAGAAAGTGCAACTGCATGAAAGCTCAGTAGAAGAGAACAAACCTTTTGCAATCAGGGGTATCCGTCCACTGTTTGTTGTCCGGACACCCTCATCGGCTCTCTTTATTCTACTGCAAACTTTCAATCTTATTGGCTTTTCCCACCCAACTGTAGTGGAAATCAATTTTTCTATTTTACAGAACGGTTGCTCAAATTATTGCGGGAAAAGTTTGATTTAACTTGTCGCTAATCTGTTAGCCTCCATAACACCTATGATAGAAAGAAACATTTCTGATCGATTATATATCGATCGAGTGACTTTTATATCAGTCAAATTTTAATCTTTCGCCTCGTACTCCTATAAGGTTACGAATGCACCACCAACAAACAGCGACGGTATTTAACCGTCTGCTCATAGTGTGGTGATGTACTACTCACATTTGTGAGTAATATACAACAGAGTTGGCAGTTTCTTCCGACGATCAAAAATTAACAAGACCACCGAAGGCAAATTGCTGGGTCTCAAAAAATAACTATCGTCTGCTACATTCATTACTCGTTGTGCTTACAGGAACTACGATGATATGTTTCAGATGAGATTTATTTCTGTGTTATGTACGCCAAGTTAGTGATGTCCCATCTGTAATCTACAGTTAGCAGCTATTCTTCACAGCGTACCGCCTTGTGGAATTATAACACTAGGACAGTTAGTTTACCTGGAACTTTGGCTCTTTTATAGATGTGAGATTAATGCTCTGGTGCTTGGGACCCAATGTCTTATGCCTATCTCCATTGATGTATGCATTGGGCTTATTTTTGCAGTGCAGGCCAGCTGAGAAGTGACAAAGTGACCCCGAAAATAACTTGATCACACGCTTTCAAAATTTTGTGATTTTTGTCCAATAACCGCATACCCTTGACCCGATCACTGGATATACGACTTTTTCTGGAAAGTAATGTTTTCTTTATCAGAGTATTTGTTTTGACTATAATTTCATATATTACTAACTCCCATATCATTGTTCCTGGTTTTGAAAAGTAAGGAGTTGACGGTGTTTGTAAGGTGCTTTATTCCTTATCAATAGATCGTCAGGTATACTCCCTTTTCGGATCAAAGGTGAATTTGCAGTTGACAAGCATTTTGGCGCTCTTGGTCACACGTATTTTGTTCCATTTCACCTGATCGCCGAGCTTGACAATTTGTTTGCAAATATTTCATCACCATCCGAGGTTACATCATCAGTGCTTATGAAGTGATCTCTTTGTCCTCGCGGTTTGATAGCATGTTGGGTTTTCCTTTTCGCACCGGAGCTGAGACGGTTTTTTGTCGGATGGTTTTTTTACATCTTCAGGCATAATGGACGATTTGAGAGTTTGCTCCAGTTCCGCCAAGTATTACTTGTTTATGACATTGAAGTTAAGTCCCTTAATGAGGAGTCGTCTTGTATCCCGTGTGATCACGCGATTGGAGAGATTGCGAACCCAGTTTTCATTTTCATCGATTAGCACGTGATCATCCAACTTTTGGAGCTTTCTTGAGAGTAACAGTTTTCTTTTTCTTTTGACAATTTTGACGCGTCGACTTATTGCATCTTCCAGCTGTTCCATCAGTCGTTCGCTCAATGTAGTTCGACAGTTCTCTAGTTCTTCTTGTGTAACCTCCTTGCACTTGGCAAGACGTCTCTAAGCGTCCGAGTTCATCATTAGCACCATGCGTCTTCCGAAGTGTTGTGAAATCCTCCAGGTTTCCGGGGTATTGACTGGTGGTCTATGATATACACTCCGTGGAAGTATATTGCGCCGTTGGCATTTGTGAAGGAAACATAGCTGCTCGTGAGTGGAGACTTCTCGGCAGGCGAAAGTCTCCCATCGGCGAGCTGCTTTTAGCGTCCAACGCCCGAAAACTGTCGACAAAGTACTGATAATTGGTTCTTGTAGCTCGGATGAACTGAATTCTACCTTGCCTATTCGCCGAGCTTGGGAATTTGTTTGCAAACGTTTTATCACCAGCCGAGGCCACTTCACAAGCACTGATGATGGGTCCTCGGCTGGTGGTGAAACATTTACAAACAAATAGCCAAGCTCAGTGAACAGGCGAAATGGAATTCAGTTCACCCGAGCTACGAGAACCGATTTTCAGTACTTTATCAACGCGTATNTATTTTGCATAACGCGGTTTGAACGAGACAATTCTCTCAGCCTTGTCTGGATTCCTATACCCGCTCTTCAGTGTGAGAGTTCTCCCCGCATCATATCTGATGGTTACCAAAGTATTTAACCGCAATCGAAGTACTTATAAACTTACCGTTTCTTCTCGCTCCACCGTATTTTATGGATTTGTATAAAAACTGCATCCATCAGCACACACGCCAACGGTGTATTAACTGAAGTTGATGTGATTCCTGTTTCAAGGGGAGATTACAACCATATACAAGTGTGCATGCACCAAGAAGCATTGGATTGTCGAAAGAACGGTAAACTCTATTAGACGCTTTTCAGTAGCAAGACTTTTTACAGACAACACTTTCTTGTGAGTGCGAATAACGCGACCGACTCCTAACAACAATGCAGAGAGACTGATTAGACCTCGATTACAGTTCGATACACAAATATATTGAATGAATCATGCGTACGAATAGGACGCACTGACGCACCAATAAATCGATTGATCGTTTGACTCGTTCTGTGATCATCCAATCGGGCTCAGCCTGTCTGGAGTGTTTCGAGCTTGCGTATGACCGGACTTGGAGGTGTGCGCGATCTGAAGGGTTACTTAAGCTCCGTCCCAACACGTAGTGTAGCAAATTTGGGTAGTTGTGGAGCTGCTTCTTTGAAATGCTCATTTAGTTCTCGTTCTTATCACAATACATTTTAATGGACTGTGACGACCGCAATACCATTGTTGACACATCTGTGTGGTGGGTGTTTGACTTTAACACTCGGCTTTTATTCACGCAAGCTAGACTTACTTTTACAGAAAACAAATGGAACCTTTTAGTTATGCTAATAAGTAATAGCGATTGTTTTTTGAGGGGTAGAACTGTTGTTCACGAAAACCTTTGATCGAATTTTGGAGTGTCCTTATTCATCTAGTATAGGCATCGATTATTTTATGAAATCACGATTATCTGTTTGCATCATTTGCCTTGGTGATACACTTTCAGGATGCTAAAATTATTGCACTGGCCGAGAAACGCTACCGGATGAACTCTCGAAATTCTAGAAACCCCATTCCGGACAGTGCCTTGATGGTAACTGGATTGGTGAGCCCTTTGTGATGTATATGAAATAAAAAATCAACTATGTAGACACAATTATTATAATTTTACAAGTTCAGTGCAGGACTGAAGAGAGTTATTTGTACAAAAATATGCCACAACCATGGGTGAATTCGGTTACATTTATCGAATGGAATTTATCATATGGAATATGGATGATTGATGGGACAGCCCGACGGTAGATATGCACTATCTGTAGTTGCAATTATGAACACACTGATTCTCTTCAGGATGTCTGATTCAATTTTGACTGTTATTCGAAACCGCCAACCACATCCTTGTGTGCACTCCAAGCATACTACTCGCAAATGTGAGTAGTATCTCGAAACAACATTTTCAATTGAATGGAAAAACCAGGAAGATACAAAAGCCTCACAAGCATATAAAACCGTTTTTCCTCCCACAGGGGTTTACGGGGCCCATAGACGCGAGCATGAAACCGAACTTGAACTAACAGAACCACGTGAACAAATTAAAGTTTATGTACTGGTAACACTCGGTACTTCATTAACCTTCATTTACAATAAGATAGTTAAATATGTGTTTCCTTCTCTCCTTGAAGTATATTTTCCGTTCCTGATAGATGTTTAATAAACGCATATGTGTGCACACTCAGTTTTGAAGTGTTTATTTGCTTTTAGCCTTGTGTGCTTGGTCATCTCAGAAGGTATTCCTTATGTAGTAGAAGACAATTTAAAAATTCCATGATCACAACCCAATGAACGGGAATATTTAGTCCAGTTCTAACTAAAATATTCTCCCTAACAAACTGTGAGCATCATGATCAATACAAAACGTTTTGTAACCGGATCTTGTTGCTGAGCCTAACCCGAAAGACACGGGGATTAGCAACAGCGGAATGGTAAAACTATCCTATTTATGTTTTCCGCGTTTCAGCGTTCCAGACCACACTCGTCCAGTGCTCGATTTGGGTCCGGAACCAAATCAAATTTGCCCAATGCTCCGAAAGGCGACAACCCGAATAAAACACGCGTGAGTCATTCACCCAGGGCGCCTTTGCGTCACATAACGCAAACTGACAATTGTAAAGTTTTTCGGCTTTCTTTTTGTCTGAAACCATAATTTTGAGCACGTCAAATGACAATTAGTAGAAGCTTTTCTCCAAAGAACAGGCTTTAACGATTGTCCAAAGCACCTCGGTGCTGAAATGGAAACCTTCAAAGAAAAACTAATATTACCGCCTGTGATTCAAAGTGGCTAGAGTTTATGGAGTAGATGGTATCCAGATGAAACTTGTGTATCTCGGCACTCATATCAATGGATGACTTTTCCCCAATCTCGATTGTCTTGATCATCCGGGATTCAACATAATCCACGATGACAAAGTAGTATGGTCCGGTTTTCATGGACCGTTTTCCTCTGTTGGCCTTATCACGATTGGTACATAGTATCACATGTTCCTGCTTGAACTGGTTGGTGCTCGGTCATGCGGCGTGAAACCACCATAGGTGGATGGGGCAGTACATCTGCCGACTGAGAACTAAAATCGTCTCCTTACCGAGACAGAGAAAGAAGGTCACAGAAGAGGTAGTTGGTTTATTGGAAGAAATCAATCGAGATACATCATTGGCTTATGAAACAGCAATAACAAGAATAACAGAGAACGCAGGAGTCAAGATTCAAATATTTTGTTGGTTTTACTGCACACCTTTTTCGTTATTTTTCTTTCACATGAAATGAAATAGTGTGCGCAAGGAAAAAAATGACTTGCGCAGTAAGAGTTAACCAATCAGCTCACGTGCTTTTCCAGTCTTAGTATTTCCGGTTGAACCGCAGCCAATTTGATCGTCCAAGTTTACCGGATATTTGTTCCTCGTTCTGAAACTGTATCACGCAGCTTCCTGGGTGATGTACTCCGGGGCAACTAGCCACTACACATGAACGTTACTGAGCACAGACAACAGGCTGAGTGTCTTTCATCAACCCATTCGAGCTGTGGCGGGACCGCAGAATAGTTATGTAATTCATTAATTTCGAAAAATGATAAAAATATGTATTCCTGACAGTCAGTCTTAAAACTGCTTTTATTCGGCCTTCAATCTGAGACTGCTCTGGACTGTTGGGTTCTGCAGACCAACGTTATAGATGAACAAATGACCAATCTCCTCAATGTGTGGAGGAATCTCGCACTCCTTCTGTGTATTGATCCAGTCGAAAGATGTAAAACTACATCTCTGGTAATTTAGATGTTTATACAACATTTCTTAAGCAACCCTTCAAAAATCACTAAAGACTAAACCTGAATAACCATGAATTGGCAATTTGGTTCAGCCTTGATATGAGCTGGTTGGCGCAGTGGTAACGCACACACCTTCCACGCAATGGGTCCGGAGTTCAAAGCCCAGACGGAACGATGGATGTGCACTACTGATGAGCTCTTATAAGAGCAAAACTCAAGTCTGATGCTTTCGAATGATTGGCTGACTGGATGAATTGAAGATTGTTCGTGAAGGTGAAATTCGAAAGGATGGTCAGTTCAAATCAATATCAAATTTTTTCACACTACTACTCACAAGTAACTGTCGTCAGTGATGGCTTCTTGTATAGTCCAAAAACAAATTGCTTGAAAGAAGGCAGTTTGTTCAGTTCTGTCCTACTGCAGGATTTTGAATGTTTGTAGAAGCAGTGCTCACTTTTCTCATAATTGTCGTCGTCTGTTCGCAGATTGAATGGATTTGGACTAAATAAACTAATGCATCAGGAACCAGATCACTCAAGACGACTAGCTCCATGAAAAGTCTATTCGTTACTGCGAATAGCTGTCACTTGCAGCTTGATTTAATTTGAATTTTGAAAATCAAAACGTTATCTTGCTTACAATCGAATGAATCTTGAACCAAAAGGCTCAGATAATACACCATACAGCTGCTTCAGCCTCCGGCAATCATCCGGAGAACTGAGATAACTAACAGCGGACTATTAGTTGATGGCACACAGCCTGGAACGCAGACAAAAGCGAGAAATTTAATACAGAAATAGCGATGAAACGTGAATTGAAAATTTAGGAAGCATTATGCACCTATATTAAACTTGTCAGATCTCATGGCTCTAAAGCAATTCGGACTACTTAAACGAGCAATGTTCCCACACTTACTAGCCGCATTTCGTCGGCCACCCATGGAATACGCCGTTTATGTATGGAATCCATAGTTGAATCGCGACAAGAAGGCTCTAGACCGTCTCTTTAAGGTTGGCAACAAAGATAGTGAAAGGTCTGTAATCTGAAAGCCTGCAAATATTGGGGTTTTACTCGTCTGAGCACCGTCAACTTCGTGGGGGGGAGGGGGGACCTAATCGTCACACACCGCATTCTGCATCAATCCAACCACCCTTGCAGTTCTGTGGTGACTTTATCTCAAAACAATCATCTCAGGGAATATCCATTGAAGTTGAGGACCCACAATAGTCACGAAGATTGCCAGCATCAATAGGTTGCCATCAAAGTGTGTGGTGTATGGAATTCTCTGCTATCCCATGTTGTGTGTGCTCACACATTTAAAATATTCAAATCGCACCTTGATAAAACACTGGAACACTTAATATTTCAACACCCGTGAGGCATCATGCATATTATTATGTTCTATTTGTAAAGTTATACAAAACATTCTGTACAAACTCTATGGTGCTTAATAAGCGTCAGTTTTCTTTGAAATTCATCAGCAAAGTGAATATGTAGGCTCAATTTGAGATCGGACCCGGCACCTCAGATTTAGAATGCAATCAGACTAACCACTTGAGTATCGGGCAGCAAATAAAACGATTTACTTGATCTACACCACACAAAGCCAATGTTCATTGTGGGGAGAGAGAAACAGAACTTTTCCATTGAGATAGTTAGCAAGAGATTTGGTATTTTATTCACGCTCAAAGACCCACTATTTTCCATCTTGATATCTTCAGTTGGTTGAACTAAAAATGGCATAACTCGTATACTACTATGGAATAATCCTAGTCAATATTTGTAACAGTGGCTTATGCAAACTTACGCTCAACGGTTTGTGACGGCCAGTTTTGGTGAACTACATCATCTTCTTGTTTCCACTGCGAGAATCACTCTCCATTTCTGTTTTGTACCCTCAAAAATAGCGCTACAGTTCTGCTTGCTCCCTCAGCAAAGAAAGTGAATATTGGCTTCGGCGACAAGCACAAGATTCGGCTCGCAAGTAGGTAAACCGGACGAACTGCGACATTTGACAATTTCAACATATCTTCTATAGTTTGCATCAACGTGATTTTGTGACGCTAAAAGATTACGATTGCAAATTGCAACTCCCTACCATTTCGCATATTCTACGCTTTAGTGACATGTTCAACGTGTGAAACAAAAATCAACCAGCTTTTTAATTTTTGACTAATTTGATGTGACTCCCGATTTATCCATTCTTGTCCAGAAAACGTTACTGTCCTACAGGTTATCAGACCATTATGCCTCTGTAAATTGGATGGGTAAATTCGAATGTGAAAAGATCAGTGCTATCGGTGTGGCCTCGTAGCTCAGCTGGTAGAACATGCGCGTACAAAGCGTAGGCGGTGCCCATGCGTGGGTTCGAATCCTATCGAGGCTACTTTCACAATCGACATACAAACTTCAAATCTGCCAAACGTCAATTTGAACATCATGAAGATGTTTATGCTGTTTAGACGGTGAATGTTTGGATTAGCCCATTCGGTTTTTCACACATCGTCAAGCGCTGTTGATGATGCTGTGTGTGGGTTTCAACTAGTGGTGAATTAGCCATCTCCCAAGGAGTGAAACCCATACTCAACATCATCAACGGTACCTGGTGCCTGTGAATAACCGAATGGGCTAATCCAAACATCTAAATCGATTGAGCTATTTGCACAAGGCGATGACCGTTGACCGCGTAGCTCAATGGTAAGGGTTTGAAGTCCCAGCCCGAAGAATCATGGTCCGGGTCCTGACAGGGACACCAAAAGTACACACTGCTGACGAGTCCTCTAAACGGGACGAAACAGCTGTCCAATGCTGTTTGTCGGTTATCACAAACATTTCCATGTTCATGGTGTGTTCGTTTGTCTTTAAAAACAAACATTCCATTAATCCCACAGAATATAGTGAGAACAACAACAGCGGGACGAACAAACTCGTTATCAGTTATTTGTAATCATGCCAGTACATAACATCAAATAAGAGTAACAACAAGAACAAACGGAACAAGAGATGCCGGTTCTTGTGGCTCAACTATGGCTTCAATCATGCGCGTTTGTGTGAAATTGATCTCAGGGTCAAAAGTTCAAGTGATTACACACGTATTGGAGTGGATGAATTGGGTTAGGGGGGATTAAGTGCTTGCACGAATCTCTTTTGAGCGCACAAGGTGTGTGTGTGTGTGTGTGTGTGTGTGTGTGAATTCGAATAATTACGGCTTCGGCCGCAGCCAGGATACGATGCTTTACTGTTCTTGATTGCCTCCATGGAACCTTGTAAATCGGTCGGAACGCGCTTGTCACATGCACCGAGTGACTGGCCTCGAAACACCGCGCTCGTAGTTGTCTTAATTGTTCCAGTCCTCAGCCGAGCCGCGTGGTGGTTGTGCGCGCGATCAGATAAGAGCCTGGTCGTGCGGCCAATGTACTCAGTTCCACAGGAACCAGAGATCGAATGTATCTCATGTGGGTAATGGAGGATTTGGCTAAATTTCAAATGGGAATTCGTCGTGTATACAGCAAATGAAGCGTGAAGTGAAAAGCTCGGAAGCACTGGACAGCTGCTGATGAGACCCAGCCAGGTCGAAACAGCTGTGAATGATGGAGATTGTGAAGTCGTTAAGTCCACTGGTAATCTATTCGAATCCCGCCACCAGAGTGTCCTTCATTCTTGGGGTTTCCCTCAGTAAGCTTTTGGTTGGCTAGAGGTGTGTTCCTGAAAAATGACTAATGAATTGTACATTCAAGAAAACAAGAAGTGAGGGGATCAAAAAGACTATTATTATTATTATTATTATTATTATTATTATTTTGGCTGATGATTAAAAGAGAAAACTACGTCGATTTTTTTCCTTTCCCGAGAAGTTATCTATTTTTCCAGATATTTGCAAAACGTTCACACTCGATCACCCGATTCGGTTTTGCAGTAGCTAGTTTCAAAGAACTCACTGAAATGTCATGTTTTTGCTTTCAAAATTGTGAGTGGTCACATCAAATTCATAGCACATTGGATTTGCAAATCATAGTGAACGGACATGTACAGATAGACCGGGGCTATAAGAATTAGAAACAACAATTCAACTCCACGGCAAGTGAACTGACTGGGTCAACAACTTTTGGGCGAACAGAACGGGATGATGTAATCTGATTAACAACGCCTCACTTATTGCAAACAGTTTTGCATTGCGGTTACGTAGCAACCGTTGATGTCATAGTTAGAGTTACAATGTATTTCTTCAAAAAGGAACTAGCATTTTTGGGCCATCTTTGATCGTATCTGTAATAATAATTGAACCAATTTTCCATTTTAAGCAGAAATAAAAGCCTGTTTCAAATAATCCTGAGCTTACGATCTTTTCGTCATGACCTCGCAAAATACTGAAGACAAGCAATAATATGCACAGTACTGTTGAACGGTCCTACACTTGTGATCTGCACTAACTGATACCGAAATGAACAACTTACTTTTTTCCTGCTGAACTTAAGCGAGGAAATCGATCGTTTGAAGCAATCGTTGGAGGAGAAAGATAAGAAGACCGAACAGAATCGAGAAGAAAAGCTCAGAGAACGTCAACGTCAATTGATTAGTGCACAGTATGTATGTCATTCATATCGTTTGACTTAATTATATTTGCAGTATCATGTTTCGATTTCCTACATACCCTCCCTCCCCCCCCACACACACACATCACCAACAGTACTCTGCATCGTACTTTTGGTTCTTGTATAATTTTGACATAAAACATCGATACCGGTGATTTGTAATGCTTTGCGGGAAATTCTAACTTAAATTCATTATCTTTGATTGACAAAAAATTGTCAAATCCCGAATAATATTGATTCAC